ATCACGATTGTGACACAAAAGTGAGGTTATGTCAACCAATTCATTTTAATTAATTTGATATTTTTGAATATTTTGGACAGAAAATCTCACAAAATTAAAAAAACAAAAGATTTTTTATTTTCAAAAATGTAAAAAATTAAAATCTATTTATTTTTACTGTTTTATTTTAACAGTTTAAGGCAGTTTAATCGATTCATTATGATTTTGCCAAACCGTGACGGCCATATTGTTACAAACGTCGATTAGTACTCGGAATACACATTAGAGGTGTTGTTAGTTACAAGGTTTATATAGGAAATCCTATACCATGATCGGGCTTCGAAATTTGTCGACTTACAGTTTTTCTAAGAAAGATTGTGATTGGACGTTGAAAAAAAATATGAAATCATTCCACCAAAATAATTTATATGATTTTTATAATAAAAATAAATAAGAAAAATGTGTAGTCTTTAATTGAAAAAAATTAAAATTATTTTAATTGTTTTTGGTTATTATTGATGGAAAAACATGTTCCGCTGTAGTTCGACCGTTATAATCTATTGATGATAGCTTTCTTAAATTTCAAACGTCAAAGACTAACGTATTCCTATTCGTTTATGTCTTATAGTCCTCAAAAAGTAAAATTATTTTATTCATCAGAAAAGTTAACGATCTTATCGAACTCAAAAATGAGGCCAATCAGAACTTACTTAATCTGTTCACAAGCATTACTCAATCAATCAAACAATCGTAATATTAACATGCAATATCGATAAAATAGTATTAAATTTTTGCTATTCTGACGATTAAACGTATCGATGACAACGAATTTCAAATTCAATATTAGATCGATAGAAAATATGAAAAATAACTTTACAATTTTCACTAAATATTTTAATTTTTTTCTTTTTTTTTTAAAGAAAACTTTTAATAAATTCATATGAGCCATAAATAAGGTATCAATAATTCTGCATGCTAATTAAAAAGTCCAACTTATTTTTAACGATATCCATTAATTAAATATTGTGAAAATAATTATAAAAAATGTCTAAATTCTATTTATTTTACTATGAATATAAAATACAATAGATTTCCAAATTTCATCATCTTTAAACTAATAACAGCAGTTTACTTGTAAAATATCGCCTTCAGGAACATCTTCTTCAGAATTTTCGCCACTAGAATTATTTCCTTGTCGATGCTTTTGTACAAACATTTCAAACCTCAACTATTAGTTTATATTATATCAGGAAAACTAATATTTAAATTCTAATTGCATTTCGATTTGCAATGAAAACACAATCTCTTTAAACAAACAGATATTTATGTCAGTTTAATATAAAACTTCAGCTCCAAAGTTCCACAACACAAATTTTAAATCTTTTCACTTGCTAAGACATCGCAATTCTGAACCAAAGTAGAAATACTTTAGTGCGCATAATTTCGTTGCTAGAACAACTATTGATCAAACTCAAGGAGTTGCGGTTCACCAAATTGGAAGTTTTAATTGGAAACCACTTGTAGATGTTTTCGATCGGTTTGAGACTCCAAACATGTTGCATGGATATATTAATACAGTAAGAGAATCCTCTTTATCAATCGATAAACTTGTTGCTTACAAATCCACAGGTGAATCGTAAACAATTATATCTATTTTGAAAATAGACTTCCGTGAAAAAACTGAAAAAACAATGAATGAACGTTGCTTACCTTTAAATCTTGATATCAGCTGATTTATATTATCGTTTGAAACCTTGACATATTCTATGTGACGACAGAAATGCTTGTTATGATTGATTATTCTATTATTTAAAGGTTTACCATGTCAATCAAAAAGAGTAAATTACATAAGCTAATACAAAAAAACTGAGTGAATTTTTGTTTTACACCAAAATAAAATAAACTTAATAAAAAAAACATATTTCGATGTCAAGTATTTTTATTATCATTGTGCTCTTGTTATGACAAAGACAATATATGTACGTTGTTACAAAATAAAAGCTTTAAGGAGCCGATTGGCAGACGGCTTTCGATTAGCGTGGGAAATTTAACCTCGTGGATGGAACACATTTCATATAAACATTAAGAAATATTGGTATTTAAGCGGAACCCTACAATTTCTGAAGAGATGAGTAAATGATTTCGTCAATTTGAGAACTGTCACAATTATACTCAGATGAATAGCTATGGTGGTCAAAATTGTAAAACACATCGTGTAATAAATCACTAAATTGAGTAAGCCAAAATATCGATTTACAATTACCTTCAAGTATACGATTATAAAAGAGTCATTGACTTATGTTTTTTCCTTTTGTAGCACTCAACTTGATTATTTTGCAAAATGTCTGTTAATCAGTACATTCTGTTGATTAACCTTGATAATGCCAACAACTTTGTGACGTATATAGTTCTCTCTTTTGAGTATAAAAGCTCGAAACCAAATCAAATTTGCCATACGCGTTATTCATTTTGCACCAAATATTTGTCAGTTTTGTGATACAATTTAGTTTTAAAAAATATTTGTTTTGGTAAATAGTACAAAAACCAAAATGTTTATTGATCTAATTTCGAGAATAGCTCTGTTGGTGGCATGTGTGTCGTGTGCATCTGGTAATTTAAATTTCCTCATAATATAAAATACTTTTATTAAAAGTAGACACAATGGTGTTAGTTCTCAAGCTAGAAGCAATTCATTTCTGGAGCATAATTTACTGGAGCTGTTTTTTTTTATTTCAACAGTGTCCTCCTCATATTCAAAATCAGATGGAAAGATAGTTGGGGGATTTCCAATTGAAATTGAACAAGCTCCATGGCAGGTATCATTGCAAAGACGCGGTACACATATTTGCGGTGGTTCGATTATATCACCGAATTGGATTGCAACGGCTGGACATTGTGTGAGGTAAATTCAAGGTCTCGTTATTTTCTTCTAAAACATTAAATTGATGTTTAATGTTTTTCCCCAACAAAGCGGTGCAATCAGTAATTTTACAGCTCTCAAAATCCGAGCTGGTTCCTCTTTCCATGCCAAAGATGGTGAAGTGCTAAATATCAAACAAATAGTTCTACACGAAAAATATGATAGAAATGTCATTGATTTTGACTACGCATTGATTGAACTCCAAGAACCACTTCAACTCGATAAAAGCAAAAAAGTGATCGAACTACACAACTTTGATGAAGTTTTTCCAGATAATACAACGACGCTTGTGACTGGTTGGGGAAACACTAAAAATAACAGCGAATCTAATGATCAACTTCGTGGAGGTTGGTGTACATATATCTTTCTAAATGTTTTAAGATCATTCAGCACGACGAATACATTTTTATTTCTTATTTAGCTGAAGTTCCGATAGTTAACCAGATTCAATGTCAAAATGCCTATGAAAATCGAATTAGTGCTCGAATGATTTGCGCAGGTTTCTTGGAGCAAGGTGGTAGAGATTCTTGCCAAGGAGACAGTGGTGGTCCACTTGTTGCATTTAGTCAAGATGACGGAGAGCCGAAATTAGTTGGCATTGTGAGCTGGGGACGTGGTTGTGCTGAACCAAAATTCCCTGGTGTTTATTCGCGAGTACTAGCTGCACGTGATTGGATATATACCCACACAGGGATTTAGGATGTTGAAATTTTTTTTTGAACTATTATAAATTGTATATCGATCGACTTATAGTACTTTTTACAATAATAAAGAAAATATTTATTTACAATTGAAGTAAAAACCATGAAAATCTATATTTATTTTTATGAAATACATTTGGATCAAGATTTATTGGAGAATGTGTTGTTTAATTTGAGCTCTTCCCAATTTCTGAGTTAGATAGATAAATCACTAAGGGTTATTTTGAAATCACATTATTATAAAACTGAATTATTATTCTAAAATTTACATAAAAGCCAACCGAAACCAAACCATTTTTTGGTTTTGTTTACCAAGTGCCCCGGGGCAGGCGGGACTTTTCGGAAATGGTTTGCACTGTAGTGTGTAATTTGATACTATCCAACCTATTAAAAAATGCTTTCAGCAACATGAAAATGACTTGTATATAACAAAGTGTTGACTTCAAAACCAATTTCCGTTGATTGCCACCAGAAATCGAAAAATGTCACGAATGATCAATTCTATCTGTATGAACCACACATTAAGATATGTAACTCACACATTTAGTATCAATTGTAAGAGTTACATCTCAAGATTGAACCTCAAATGGTACTTTTAATGTTGGTTTCAATACAACCAATATTTAAATATTCTACGTCCAAATGCGGTTAGCTTGTCATTAAAGAAATTTATTGTTTTTCGTAAAGCTTTGTATTTATTTTTTATAGTTTTTAAAAGTGCTCAAGTGCAGAGATATCTTATCTCAGAATGATCCTTTTTAACACAATCTATCATAGTTCACAGACTACAACCTTCTGAGTTATCAAAAGTCCCGTCAAGTGTGCGTTTCCGATCATAAAATTGAAGTGTCTCCGTCGGTTATTTCTCCTACTCTTTGAAGATTAAATATTTCGAGTGTATAATTACCGAACCGATTATTTTGAAAGGAAGTAATCTCTATTAACATCGACGAGGTGCGTGTGGTTCGATAAACCTTTGAGATTTTCAGTATAACTGCGTATTAAAAATATGTCCAATGATAATTGTATTACGTAAAATAAGTCCAGTAAGAGTGTTGCTTAACGGTATATAAGTCCAAGTAGTTCCTTGAAATCAATCACATAAACTATTCCACGTCGACTGACAGGTTCGTTAGTTCTGTGATTTAAATTGAATTTTTCCAAGTGAATTATTAAATTTGGGTGTTTTACAATGATTGCGAAACATATTTCGAACTTATTTTTATTGATCGCCTGTGTCTCGTGTGCGGCAGGTATTTTAAAAACATATTGACTAAATAATATTATTTGGTACATTTTTGGTGTTTTTTTTTTCTTTTATTCAACAGTGCATCAGCCAAAACCTCAGCTCGATGGTAGAATTGTCGGTGGCTTTGCCATTGGTATAACACAAGCACCTTATCAGGTGTCACTTCAATACCGCGAGTCACATTTATGTGGAGGTTCAATTATTTCACCGACTTGGATTGCAACGGCCGCACATTGCACCGAGTAAATAAAATTACTTATATCACTGATAGATACACCTCACTTATTTTCCACATTTATTTCATGAACACAGGCGCAGATCAGACAATCTATCTATCCTTAAAATCAGAGCCGGTTCATCATTCTACGGCAAAGATGGTGAATTGTTGGATGTCAAGAGAGTTGTTCAGCATGCAAATTTCAGCATGAAAACCGTTGATTTCGACTATTCATTAATTGAACTGGTGAATCCAATTCAACTTGACGAAACAAAACAAGTAATTAAATTACACAACTTTGATGAAGTCTTCCCAGACAATACAACATCGTTTGTCAGCGGATGGGGCAATACTCACAACTCAAGCGAATCACGTCTTCAACTTCGTGGAGGTATGTTTTCTGTTAATAAGCATTACTCTCAACAAAATATTAACACAATTTTCATTTGTTTAATAGCCGAAGTGCCTTTAGTGAATCAAAAAAAGTGCCATATAGCATACGCAAGATACGGAGGAGTTTCACCTCGCATGATCTGCGCAGGATTCTATGAGAATGGGGGCAAAGACGCCTGCCAAGGCAAGGTTTTTTTTCATCGACTTAATTATTATGACGGGAGATGATTTTAAATGAATGTATTTTACGTCATAATTTTGTACAGGTGATTCGGGAGGACCTCTTGTTGCTTTTAGTCAGGATGGCGGAGAGCCGAGATTAGTTGGTATTGTAAGCTGGGGAGAAGGATGCGCAAAGCCACTATATCCGGGTGTTTACTCGCGAGTTTTGGCAGCACGTGACTGGATATACACTCACACAGGAATCTAAGTCATTTTTTAAAGAAATTATAGTGGATTGCACAGTTTTTCTAGGAAAAATTGTGCATTGTAAAATTATTTCACCGAGATGACATATACTATTTTTATAATAAAAATAAAAACAAATTACAAGTGACGAAATCAAAAAGTGAAACACAACATTTCTGTTGTCAATTTTGTGACGAAAATAAATGATAGATAATTTTTCTTTGTACTGTGAATAAAAACTTAATATACATTTGAACATTCAAAAAGATGACGCAATGCAACGATGTTTCCGGCCAGACGGTCAAATTTTAATTTTTGGCCAATTTGGCCACCACAACTTGAACATTTTTTTTTGATGAAATCCACTTTTATCCGGATAGATCTTCTCTACGTCAGAGAGAAAGAGAGATCAATAAAGGAATTTGCCTCAAAATTTGGTTCGATCCGAAGCTTGAAGGACGGTTTGGTATAAATATACGAGAAATATAGGCTGCTATTCAGATTCATTTGCACATATTCCAGATTATTTGGCATTATGTTTGAATATTTTAATAGTAGTTTACACTTGAACATAAAAGCCCCTAGGTTCTTTATTTACAATCTGTGTTCCTGCAAACACCCCACACATATTTTAACAGCGTTTTGATTGAAAAAACCACTTTCAAATGTCACACCAGCAATTCTCCAATTAATTTGAAAATATTATTTTAAACGAGTGAAATATCTGTATAGACTGAAAATAATAGGCTGAAAAATCTTGACCTTCAATTATCATTTATTCAGAAAGAATTTGATCAATCCAGTGCAATTGCGTCCTTGAGATTTTATTTGAACAAATGTTTTCCAAGAGAATTGGTCGTTGGAAGATTTTGTAAATGTTCCAAGTTTTTTGTGCCTCCAGACATGGAGACAAACAAAAAACAATTTGGATTTTTATCTTATTTTTACTTTGATTTTATATTATTTGGACAGACATTTATCAAATAAGAAACCTCTGACGAGGCGAAGAGCGAGTGACGAAATCAAAAAGTGAAACACAACATTTCTGTTGTCAATTTTGTGACGAAAATGAATGATAGATAATTTTTCTGTGTACTGTGAATAAAAACAATATACATTTGAACATTCCATTCTTTTTACTGTTAGTATGGACTGCGCTGGTCTGTATGAAATTGGTGGAAAGGATGCCTGTCAAAAATTCGTTGACGCAAAGTACAGCGTTAAATGACAACAAATGTTAAAATTCAACCGACCGATCAAATCAATTGTCGATGTAATTTTTGATCTTGGTACAAAGGGATAAAAGAAAATGAATGGATATTAGTGACATTATATTGTTTTAGAATCGCCAAAAATATGTTTATTCACTTGACCGTCTGCGATATTCAAATGAATCAATTGTAATAATTAATTTATACGTATTTTAATTTCATTTTCTCAACATAGACAAATTGTTGATATACTATATTTATCGTCAGATTGTTCAGTCGCATAAAATAAAAGAAAAACAAACATACACAATTTTAAGTGATTTTACTAAATCAGTAGGTGAGTTTGGCAGGGACTAAAATTTTTGTAAATAGCTTTTGTTTACAATTTTTTTGTGTTTTGAACTTGGATGGGAAATTTATTCAATACAATAACACAGAGAATGGCAAAATCGTTTCGTGTATGCACACAGATTTGATGATTAAATGAACAAACTGAATGCGATTCAGGTATGTTGCAACAGGCATTCATCATTGGGCAGAATTGGTAATTGCAAGTGTTGAAGAATATTTGATGATTTACTATTTTTATAATCTTTAATAAATTTATTTGGATTTTTCATTGTTAAAAAGTACAAAAATAACTTAATTCAATTTACTTAAACATTATGAAACCGAAGACATCAAACATATCACACACATACATCGCGTTTATGATTTGAATTTATTAATTGTTCATTCAATTGATCTAAATTATAATTGTGTATGTATGTGTTTTTGTATGTGTTTGTGTTTGTATGTGTATGGTAAATTCATTTTCCATATCGTTCTTTTCCGGTGAATTTTAATTTGACTAAATATTTTAGTTTTACTCGTGACTCGTCGAACACAACAAATTCGTTAAAAACAAGGTCTGTTTTTACACCAATCCGTTCAACAATTCTGGTGTTTGGAATTTTTAGACCATTGGGTCGTGTTTTGAATGAACCAGGATGCCATTTACCAATCGCTTGAACTGATTCGAATGCTTTGGTGTTCAGTGGTGCTGGATCATAAGAATATCGACTTCCTGTTCGGCCTGCAGCAACTTCACACAACAACACTAATCCGATACCGTCGATGGGATGACAATATCTGGTCGCTTTTGTTACTGTGTCCGCAAAATAAATCCCTTTTCCCAATGCTGAACCGGATATGTATACATCGTTTACCTCTACCTTTAGGCCATTTGTCAAAATACTAACGAAATTTTGCATGCCCGAGCCATGAAATAACAATTGACGATTGAAATTGTCTTCGTGTGACAGATAACGTATAGTTTCTTCATGTCGTTCTATTTCAAATATATCAATCATTTCACATGGACCTGGATCGTAATGGGCTGTTGGATCATCCTGTTTTTGTGTATTCAAAATGTAATCGCTTATTTGTTGGTGCATTGGTGAAGACTTGCGTAGTATTTTTATTTCAACCGACTCTTGTAAATGCTCGTAACAAACATCGAGAAGGTTTTTTCGATTGTATTTTCGATCTGTCATTGTTTCATACTGTTCATATCTGGCTAAGACTTTATTTAGTAAATCGATTTTTTCCTGGACTATTTCAAGTGTGTTGACTAATGGTGGTCGGCGTTGTCCAAATGCTTGAGGAAAATATGAATAAAATTGATTTGAAAATGCCACAATTGAACGTGAATTGCCGACATCCAACATATATGGGATTTGGTCCAATAGATGAATGGCACATCGAATGGTTCGTTTCTTTATTCCACCCAGAGGCATCCCATCATAGACCAGACAATAATCGAGCAATGTTTTTTCCAATACATCACCGTGAAACAACATTTTCATCAAATTGTATAGAGAGCTATCCAATTTACTGTTTACATAGTTGACTTCAATTGAACGGGTGTAGTTCAATATATCCACGCGATTGTATTTTCCTGGTTGCTTATCGAAACCGTATTTCACAAATTCATTACCAGTCAAATGAGCGTAGATATTTTTGAATGCTGCCTTACCCTCTTCTACGCTTGAGTGGCGCGTCTGTTTCTTGAAACCAGATGAAATGTCATTTATTCGTCCCTTCGTCTCGATCATAGTTTGTCCGATTAATTCTAATTTCAGAAACGAATTCTTATTTATATCGATGTCAATGAAGTTCAGCATTGCTTCGTATCGGATATTATTTTCACAGTAGACATTATAATTTGGCACGGAAATTTCATTTGTATTGTATGTTTCGTATTGTCTCAATGTCTTGAAGGCGTCTTTTTGTTCTGGCATCCGTTCGTATGGCTGAATTAAGAAGTAAATTTAAAATGCATGAAACAAACAATAATGTTGTTGAACGAAAAAGCAGTAGACAAAGTTTGGTCTGTAGATTATGTATCCGTAAAAATTTTAAACAAACGTACATCTTTTCCAAATTTACTCAAATCATTTCCGATGATCAATTCAATTGGATCATTTTCTAGGAAGCTGCCCACCAATTCATCGGATATTATTTGGATGCGATGTAAGAAGGCTGGATGAATGTCTTCTCCACCTTTGTTCACAACATCAGCATTTGAAATGACTGCAGCCAGACGTGAATGTATTTCAGATGCTAGTCGACCGCCCATCATACGAATCTTGTGTTCGATAACATTCCTCGGTTGTTTCGTATCGCCAACAATGAAAAATTCCATATTACACAATGGCTGATTCGTAATTGCTCTACAATCGGAGAAATTCAAAAAACTTAAATTTATAAACGGCTTTCGGATTGTTTCAAACAACAGCGAGAAGATATGGATCGACTTATTCAATGAATAAATCAATATATTCATATTTATAAATGAGATCATTTTTATATACAAAATCATAAGATCATAAAACCGAAAACCGAACAACGATGTTAGAGAATGGTTGTTTATTTGTTTGTGAACAAATTGTATGTACAACTCTGTACTGTGGCAACAGAGCATATTATATTCGCATACCAACCATACGTACCATACACACTCTATGCGCTCCTTGTACTCTCTCTCTCTCTCTCTCTCTCTCTCTCTCTCTACATTATTATTAATGCAATTATTATTCTTTCAATCGAATAGGTTATTGTGTAGAGGGAACATTGGCCAAAACCATTCTCTCGGAACCAGAAGAGATTACAACGATGTCCGGTCAAAAAGTTCCATTGAATATGTCAGTTGATTACATTTGAACGCTCTAGAATAAAAACAACTTATTGTTTACTCGCATATCGAAACGGAACTCAAAACGGGTGCATATCAAAGCGAGACAATATTTAAATATCATAGGAATAGAGAACATTGGCTTTTTATTATGCCAAATATGTAAGTTTCATTTTGTGCTGATAACTAGCTACTGTTCTGCCTTGTTTTAGTAACAGAATTTTGTTTCGCTTTGATATGCGACGCAGTTTAACGATATAAATATTTCACACTCTCGAAGGCTCGGTATAGAACACACAAAAATTGAAAAAAAAACTTCTTATTCTCAAATTTCATTTACAATCAAATGGCTTGTACCAGCGACTTTTATTGCGTAGTTGTGTGTGAATAGAATGTCCGTTGTAAAAATTCATACATACAAGGAGGAGCGGGATAGCATTGGACAACGATTTGGGTGACAAAGATGACACATTTTTATGTTCTGATCACATCACATGATATAGACCATTTTGTGGTGTTCGAGAATTGAGAAAAAAAATCAGATTTTTTTTTCACTTTTCATGCTCTATACCGAGTCTCCGAGAGCTTCATATAAACTCGCCTTGCAATAGCCAAATGACGCCTATTGATTCCATCACGATTGGTATTCGCTTACTATTCAATAGGCATCACATAGCAAGTTTATATGAAACTCTCGGAGACTCGGTATAGAGCACTCAAACAGTGAAAAAAGTCCAGATCGTGATTTAGATGATATGGAATGCGATTTTTTTCATTCTGATTTCACCAGGTGATATAGAAAATTGAGTAGTATTTGAGAATTGAAGAAAAAAAATTTAATTATTTTTTTCATTTTTCGCCAATTTTTACTTTTAGCTGACAATTTACAGTATGTCTTGATTATTATAAAAATAAATATTACATACCTTCCATCTTCTACACGTTTCAATCGTTCTTCCATTTCATCCAATCGCTTTTCACATCCGTTCACTCGCTGGTTTATTACATGTTGTGAATTTGTTTCGGTGTCATTCGGTCTTGTTTGAGCTGGTTTGGCGATACAATATGTTTTCAATTGGTACTAAAAGGCATAAATTGCTCCAAACGAAGTGATTAAAACGCCGATATTTGACACCAGCTGTGCCTTTTCACATCCGAAAACATCAGTAGCGACAGCTACGATGCAGATAAAACAGCCGAAAGCCGCTATTGCCAAAAGACCGAATTTTGTAAATTTTTTGGTTGTGTTGAACGTGTTGCGCCAACTTTGATTGGTATCGGTTGGAATTAGCGATACATCGCCTAATGTGGAACTTGGTCCTAACATTTTTTTGCTTAACGGTTTCAAATAATTTTTAGGTTATGTACATATATTTGTATTTTCTTATGTTTATGTTTGTCACTTGACAGATTTGAGCGTCAGTTGAGGTAGGTTATGTGTATATTTACATTTGGGTGTATATTAGAGTGGCCCAAAAAATCAGGGTGATTAAGTTACTGCAAATATACATTTTAGGAAGAAATCCAATAAATTTAAAGTCAACAAAATGCAATATATCAATGCGTGTTGTAACTTAATCATCGTGAAAACTGGTGAATCTTATTTTCTTACCAAATAATAATAATCTGCCAATTTTTTTTGGGCCACTCTAGTATATGTGCTTATGTCATTTGACAGAGCTGAGTTTACAATATTTTATTGATTTTTCAACACCGTTCCAAGGGTTCATTTTTATATTATTCTGACCCCCGTCCTTCGAATTGGGTCATTCAGGGTGGACAAAACTATATGCCAATGGAAACTACATTGATATGCGTAACTTTCATTAGAAGAAACCTAAATGCCCAGTTGAGTCATAAGGGGTGAATATCATATTGTGAAGTCACAATGAAATGGGGTATTTTCATTTTTCGACCCGAATTAAAGGTTCAAGTTAGAAGGAGTAAATTGTTCGAATTTGCTAGGGTTTTTGATTCTAAAAGTGAAGACCTTTTTTTTTTAGCTCATCAATGTAGAAAATTGAGGAGAATTCTTTCAATTTCCTAAGGTTTTTTGGTTCCGAGTGAATTTTTTCTGATTTGCTAGGGTTTTTCGCAGAGAAAATTCTTTCGATTTGCTAGGGATTTTCGCGTCAAAAAGTGACTTCCAAAAAAAAAAAAAAACGAAAATTTGTCTGATTTGCTAGAGATTTTTTTTTTCGAAAAACCACCCCCCCTCCCCCCCTGAAAAATTTTTCTCGCACATTACTGATTACGGATATACAATTATTTACATTATTCCAAGCAAATGATTATTTACGATATTTTGGTTCTTCGATTCATCAAGCTGAAGTCAATTTCGATGAAGTGAAATCGTCATATGTAATAAAAATTTACATGATTCTTATAATGATCAGTAAGCATTGCGTTAATCTTCGCTATTTTCGTAGCATCAATTTTCCAATGGACGAACAATTCGTGAATGAAATAATTGGTGAGTTCCGAGAATGTGTGACATATTCCAGCTTCTGTTATAGTAGGACGCAGAACTATATGTAAATCTTCAGACGTTGGAGTGTCTGTTTTCAACTGTAAAAATCGGCAAGAGAATTGAAGGGTAAAGAAACACGGAACTCTAGTGACTAAAGAAAAAAAAAAACAAAAATTGCATGCCTTTGTCACGACATCCAACAATTCATCTCCACTGAGTTTTCTGAACAGTGACACGTTTTTAAAATTTTCAATCAAGTCAATGCTGCCAGCATTTATCGATCCGATTATATTCATGTCGTGACGATAGTCTTGATAAGCTTTTGAATTATTATCGATCGATAAATTGGTGGCGCGTTGGTAAAACTCTTTAATGAAACGTTCATTTTCATAATCTGTACAAACGGTGACTCCAGGCAAATAATATATCCATTTGTGATAGTCTGCATCCAAAGTTAATATAATATGAATGGAAATAAGGATTTGTTTGTGACTTCAGATTCAAAATTAATATAACACAAGCACCATGGCAGGTCTCCCTTCGAATAAATGGTATTCACAATTGTGGAGGTTCAATTATTTCCCAAATATGGATTGTTACGGCAGCGCACTGTACATTGTAATTAGATTCAAAAATACAATTAAATAATTGGACTGTTTTGAGTGAAAATATTCGTGTTTAAATTTAGGTCTATCAATGATACATCCACGGTAAAAATTAGAGCTGGATCTTCTTTAATGTATGGCGAACCAAATGATGTCAAATTATTTGCGGTGAAACGTATTATTCCGAGTATCACTTACGTTGTATATTGGCAATGTATTTGAACGCGACTCGATTTGAGAAGCACCATCTCTGTCACGCCTGGTTCTCATATATTTTTTTCTTGCTATAAAATTGCAAAATTGTATAAATTGAATAAAACACACAAATATTTTATATTATATGATTCACCAGAATAGCTTCACTTCGTGTTGTTTACGTTGTTTCTTTTGACAGGTCTGAATGTTTGACAGATACATATTTTCTCCACGTAACCATCTCTACATGGTCTACAAGTCCTCATGGAGATATTGACATGATATTTTGTACAGATATCAATAACAGTGTCCTAACCTACAACAAAAAATATTTACACGATTCCATTACCCCGTTAAGTTTAAATGAATAACTATATGTATTTTTTGGACACAGTAGTACAGTGGGGGAAAAAAGGTTAGAACCATTTCAATTTTTCAAAAAAACAAAATAAATTCTTGAATATGTCGCGTCTATTTTTTCAATAAATATTAGTAACAATATATAAAACTACATCACAGAAAAAAATCCGAAAAAAATTAAATGTTTGATTCTTTGGAACTTTTCGAATTTTTGCACTTTGCAAATGGGAAATAAGCTAGGGGCTTTTAACTATACACACCCTAACCACATTTAAGGAATATACATTGACATTCAAAAAATACATCACAAAATGCATACGAAACGAAAATATTCAAATATTCAAACATATACAGCAAATATTCACCATATTCACGTGTATTTGTGAACGAATCGGAACGAATTTTCATTTACAAAGCAAATGACGTTGACTTAAACAAATCTGTTTTATCGATTAAAACAGCTGTTCATTCTGTTGTCATTTCAACAAGTGTCAGTGGCAAGTTTTTGGTCAGTTGTTTAAATTAATTCAGTTAAGTCAGTCGCGTAACATTTTGATCTGAAATGTTGAAATGGTAAGAGATTAAACAAAAATAAAAATAAATAGTTTTTTTGTGAACAATTCTTTTTTGTGTGCTTTATAGGCGAAAAATATACTAAAATCGTTGGAGGACCTGTCTGGAGACAAATTCAGAGAGAATTTGATTCCAATTTTAACGGAGGCAGGCTATGATACAAAAAGTGCAATCAATAGTTGATATTGAAAAATACGGTAATCAAAATCGAGAACGTTTTCAAAGAATTAAAAAAAAAACCAGATACGAATATCTCGAAGATTTCAAATTTGCACCGGGCCACGTCGCGTTAATTCTATGCTTAAAAGAATATATACCACTATTGCCATCAAATAAACGTCCCAGAAAACGTCGACAAGACGAACAAGAAGACCCACCAAGTCCAAAACAAGCAAAAAATCAAAAGAACGTTGATCAAAATATTGCAAGCGCTCATGTTTCAATAGAAGACCACACAGATCGACTTGCTGATCGAGCTGGTATTTTGAATGCATTAATTCTGAAGATTAATAAATTTGTAGAAAACAAAAACATTCATTTGAAAGAAAATTTGTAACTAAGCATATATTGAATTTTTTTAAGTGTAGTGTTCGGTGCCCTTCTTGCAGCAAAATAGTTGCGTGCAGCTTTGTATCTCATCAGAGTATCATTATTTGCTGCTGCTCAGCATATAACTGAGAGCCGAGTAATGCTGAACTCGTACGGCTAACGCATAGGAATAGGTTACTCGATACATATTCCCTTTTCGCTTCGTATGTGCTGCCGTTGACGCTATTGCCGCTGCTGTTTCACTTACGCTTAAAATACAACGGCATCAACGGTGCCACATCATACCAGCGAACATACGATTTAAAGTCGATTTTCAAACTCTCTTTGTCGTGCCATTTTCCAGTGTTATGTCAATGAAAAAGGAAAAGAAACGGGTTTTAAACATATAAAATCTATTAAAATCTAAAATGAAAACATTAATACATAATTTTTGTTTTGGTAAAAATTCTAAAACGACAATCTTTGGACCAAATATACATTGATTATTTTTCTTTTGAATGCCAAATCGATTTTTCGTCTACTGTGAATTAACGCGATGTGTCGTACGTAAACTATTTTTCGAAATGAATAAAAAAAAAATCTTACTTGGTGTAGCGATTTCAATTCGAGCTGCCACCTGAATGCTACCCGCTGAATAACTGTCAATGCATTGAAACATGTCGGCATCCGTTTCGATAATTCCAAGAATTCGCAAATGATGTCTAAATTAAATAGGAAATGTGAACAATTTGAGTTGGTTCAATTCATTGTCGCAGACAAACCCATTTATTTTCAACTTACCCATTAACAATTTGCACATAGTCATTTGGCGTGATAACATCGCCATTTTTCAGTCACTGCACAATGGGCGTTGGTTTACCTTTCATTGCACACACCATTTCTAATTGATCTTTTTCATAAGCGATGCGATCACTGGGATTTTGAATGAATTTCGGAGGCACTTGAACAAGCAATGAAATTTCAATATCGGCTGAATCCATGCTGTTGCTTGCACGGCATTGATAATTTCCGGCATCTGCCTCATTGATCGATGTGACTTGCAGTGAACCCGTTTCGATCATGCGGAATCTTGGATTTGTTTCACTTATATCCATTATATAATTAAGCCATTTAATTTGCGGCCGACTATCACCATTTTCAACACAGTCCAATGTGACCGTTTCACCTTCGTTCACCGTTTTCGATGTTGATTCGGTAAAAAATGTTGGCGGCTGAAATTGTTGCGGTTCACCGCCAGATTTAATATATAAATTAGTTTTACTACTATGTCTGAAATAGAATCAAAAGACCGTTGAATTGATAAATATCGGATAATTTCTAGGGGGTATTTTTCAATGAATGTAATCGGCTTACGTATAAAAAGTTCCTGAGGTAACGTTGCACTGATACGTTCCTTTATCAGATGCAATCAATTCATCAATTTGAATTGCACCCAATGGAAACAATACATTCGAGTGTTGTCAATAGTCAATGGTAAATCATCTTTGAGCCACTGAATATAATATTTGCCCGATTCCATTGTTGTCGACGATTCTAAACACTTAAAATACGCCGTTTGACCGGGATATGAATACAATTCCCGAAATAAATTATTTGTTTTTGGCAATTCTGTTGGCAAAACACATAGAAAACAAAAAACCAAAAATTAATAAAATGCAATTTAAAATCAGTTGTACGTCTTTCACATTCATTTAAATTAATCGCATTACAATACCAAATAAAACTTACTTGAAATGGAAACAATCGCAGACCGGCTGACAATTGTTCCGATGACATCGCTGCTGACTAAACATTATATTAGGGTGTTTCCGATGTCGAAATAATGGAAAATGGTATTTTCCAATCGATAGAGGAGAAAATTCTGTAATGAAAAAGTGTTGTCACCGTGTTAAAAAGTTGAAATTCACACTTCATCAGTCCAAAATGTAAATGAAAACTTTAGACATAAATTGTCAATTTGAATTTTAATCACAAAGTGCACTAGATGAATTGACCATGACATTGTTTTTATGTATCTACACAGTACAAAAGTGCGTTTTATTTGATTGTGTCAACCGATTTATGTTTAATTATAAAAATATGAAAAAAATAAGTTTTGAATGATTATAATACGAAATTTAACGAAACTTATTGAATAAAAGAGTTTTTCCGTTCTGAAAATAATCGACCTTGGTCAAAATTAATCTTTTGATTGAATCAAAATCTTGATCGATGGAATCTTTGATCTTTGAGATTCTGGTGTGGTTGGAGTTCCATATGATCGACGAACCAAAATCGATCTCTCATTATTTGACGGCTGTTGCGAATTTACAACAATTGGTTGCGGTTCTACTAGTACATTATTCGCCATTGCTTGTTGTGCCACTTGTCCGATTGCTGGCTCATTAACAATGATTGGTTGCAGTACTTCTGGAGGATTATTCAACATAATTGGCAGTGCCAAAGGCTGGGTGGATAGTATTGCCGGTGTCGATTGGCGATTTTTCAAAATGGTTTTAGCTTTTTCAACCTTTGTACCATGTATGGTGCGACGACGATTAATGTTTCCTGATCGTCGTAGCAAAACGGCTTCATATGATGACATACGCTTGATTTTTATCAATCCTTTGTTAAATCCAGTTTCGTTCAATATCGCGAGCTTCTTGCGCGAGAAATAAACAAATTAAGCGTTAATTGTAATTAAGATGTTTGGTGATGAAAAATTGTTAAAATGTTTAAATTGTCGTATGAAAAAACTTGAATTTTTTTTTTTGCAATACATAAATCAAATATGTAAAGTTCAAAGAGAAGTTTTTCTGCATATTTTTGAGAAAACGAGTGCCGAAATTCGATTGGAAAAGAAAATTTGACATGATCATATTTTTTATTCAGCCGATTTGGAATGGTAAAAAGATGACACCCTGGTTGTTAGCTCAGATGGTATGTGGAGTGAAATGAGTATTATCTATAGAGAATTATTTTTGAGTATTCGTTTAATTTCATGCGATTCCAGATGTAAAAGTAATTACTCAGAACACACTCTTTTCACATCAGCGAGAGATCCAATGGACGAATGTCACCAAAGCAGCGTCAGGAAAATACGTTTGCAAAGCTAGTGTCATCAAAGATGACTCAAACGAGACCAGACAATATATTTAGCTGCCGTCATCTAGATATTTCAGCTCATCTGGATGCTGTCAGCAGATGATGCGAAGTGAAAACAATAGAAGTTATTGTTATAGTAATACCCGGTAATACCAGTATATAACAAGCTGTAATATCCAGATGACGACAGCTAAATATATTGTCTGAACGAGACAAGAGCATGAGATTTGGTTGTGGTGGAACCACAAGTACCAGAAATAAAATCAAACTTAAACGGAGCAGTAAAGAAAAGTCCAGTCGGAGAACCAATCAAGCTATGGTGTAAAGTCACTGGTATTCCACAGCCAACATTGACATGGTATAAAAATGGAAATGTAATTGTGCCCGAAGTCAATGACACACATATTAAATTGGATGAAAATGGAACCGTACTCAATTTTCATTACACCAAAGCCAAAGATGAAGGCAAATACAAATGTGAAGCCATGATTCGACTATCGATGAAAATGACAAGTGAGGATCATTTGTTTCATTCATTTTAAATCATTTCGTTAAATCGTGAATTTTCTGCACATTTCAGATCTGCCAACGGTCAGTTTTGCCTTTATTTTTAGTGTCATCGGTGCGATTTTGGTGCTAGTAATTTGTGTAATATACCTTTGGATGAAAATTTTAATGCGACGAAGACGTCATCGTCGTGAAATTCCGTTTTTATACCGGCCACATAGCACCGAAAGAAACCTTTATGTTTCATAGCAAGTAATTGCAGATTAGTTTACAATTTACGACTCTTCAAATCGAATTAGATAAAAGCACACAACACTACATATTCACATCGAAAACAAGAAAACAGCGTCGGGCTTATGATTATTGTTGTTTTTGCATATTCAATCAAATCAAACTATTTGCATAATTTTCTTGTAAACTTGAATAGAAATTCATTCTTTCGACTTCTTTCTACTTCAGTTGTTCGAATAGTTCGATTTTAATTTTTACCAGCTCAATCAGTTTTCTGGTGTCATTAAACTCTTGTCTCATAGATGGCGTTGAACAAAGTCTAGAGTATCTATTATAAACGAATGTTATGAATTGTTATTAAAATAAACCTTAATCACTTCGAGTTGTGTGAGAATTCACTTGTTCAATGTTTTCCAATGAATATGAGTTACTTTTCTACAAGAATCTTCCTATAACGTCCAGAGAGGCAGAGCTTATGAGTCGAATGGCTTATATACAATTGGTTGTCATTAAACACACTCTACAAATATCAAAACCCTTCAAATACATTATGTCAACTTTGAATTTTCTTTTCAAATAAGGAAGAAGGAAAATTATATTATTCAGAACCAACACATATATTATTTAAATAGAAAATGACACTTTTATTTTTAACAAATTTCAATAATTTTCTGTTTATTCATTCGACAAATCGTAATAATTAAAATTATGTTAGAAGTTCATCTTATAAAGTTGAAAAATCCTTATTAAGAATAAATAAATGTCAATTTAAATCGAAAAAGTATGAAAAAAAGAAATATTTTAGTTTGTTTTGTCTATTATTAGTCTATTTATTAAATTAATGGTGATTTTGTCAAATACACATTTGAATATTAGCTAGGATAATGATAAATATGAGCAAATATCATCATAGTCACCAATTTCAACGGATCCATCGTCATCGTTGCTTTCTTCGCAAAAAATATCATCATTGACAAAATCGCATGTACTTGGTTTACAGTCATAAGAAAAACATTCGGACGAGCAACCGTATGTTCCATTCAGGCAACCAGAGCAGTCTTAAATAAAATATAATATCACATAAATAACATTAATAAGGT